AAAGAGAAATGAAGTAAACCCCATAGCACCACCTTCTTACGTAAAGCCATAAGAAGACTATTACAGTCTCTGCACACAGTTTAACTTGCTGCTTGTTTCCTTAAGAGTGCTTCAACTTTTTTCCCCACACAAATACGTTGTTTGCCATTGTTTCAAAAAGTTTAAAAAGGAAATCTAAATTTTGTGAGTGGTGAGTGTGAAGCTTCTACTTCCACCTCCATAATTTCCCTAGCTAATGGAAATGGACCGTAATTCTTATACAACTTGAGCACCAACACTGCTACATGTTATGTGAAATTTTAAAAAAAAAAGTAAAATCTACTATATGTTGCTGTGTTAAACGTAGAATCTGCAGAACTCATTACTTATTTTCTGTAAAACTTTATTTTTATAGGTATTATGGCAACTTGACATATTTCGACGAAGTTTAAGAGGCTTAACTGGACATGTGTGTCAGGGAGATGCGTGCATATTTTGTGCATTAAAGGTAAATAATTTTTGGAAGTATCTTCCAAAATGAGGGAAAAATAATTTAAATTTTAATAATTTATCATTCATATTTCTGGGTGACTAAGTAATTATTGTGTAAATAAACAATTTAGATTTAAGGACATTTGTAACAGAAATATTTTCTTGTGTTTAAAGGACAAATTTTACAGTACAAAAATTTTACAGTCTGCTTAAACATAAAACTTTTGTCTGTTAAAAGACAGTATAACTTATTTGAAAATTTCTAGCTAGCCTCTCAGAGATTTTTTTCCTTCTATCTGCATGCATATGCTTTTGTTCTTTCCTGTAGTGTTTGAATACAGTTCTTCTACAATAACTATATTACTGTCTGATAAAGTCTCAAGATTCTTTTTTTACTCAGTAGTTGATGATAACGGTTCAGAACATAATTGTTTGTAAGTAATGAAAGGCAGGTAGTGGTCCTAGAAAACTAATGAATGCTGGTAACTTTTTAGTGTTTGGAAGTCAGATCTGTGTGTCTTAACTAGTGTATAAAACTTGGGCTTCAAACAGTTTTGTAACTCATCTGAAGTCTGTAAACAAATGTCGAATTCTGCTAGGTTCTTAATGCTTTTACTGCACTGGTATTTGGCTGCAGTTACTAGGGAAATATCCCAATGAAAAAATGTGTAAGGGTTTTTTTTTTTGTTTTTAATAGTATGTACTTTCTACTTTCACTGCTATTTGACAATACACTTTTGGGATTCTAATACAGGACTAGAATGTATAGTCAAATTTGGTAGCAGATACAGTGATGTACAGAACTGGGAATCACTCATCTGGAGGGAGCTGAAAGGGACAACGCTATTTGGAAATGTGATTCGTTGAGGAAGTGGTTTTTGATGATGCTAAAGTGTAGGCAATGATAATCCAAGTATTTCAGAGTTTATTCTCAGGGAGTTTCACAGACCGAACCTTGTTATTGAACAAGCGTTTTAGGCAAGAACTGTTTGCAGTGACATTTATTTAATCATTCAGGAGGTGTATAATCTATGTACCATGTAGGTTTTTTCAGCCATTTTTAGTGTTTATCATGATTGCAGTATGGTACAGCTGGTTCTGAATGTGTCTCTGTCTTTTTCCAAGCATATTTTTTTCTAAAAGGAGCCATTTTATTTCTTTGGTTAAAATTGTTCATTTTAAAAAGCCAACAAGTTGAAGTAGATTGGGACTGCACATATTCAGACTAACTTCCTGAGGCATGTATTCCAACCTTTAACAAGCTCTCGACTCTACAGAACTTGGGACTTTTTGTTTCACCAGTGTTTTGATGCACATCATGTTCTTCTGTGTCCTGGATACTTGATCTTGTCAGTACATGAAGTCCAGACCATGACTCAGGCATACCTGTGTTTTCAGATAAAAATCTTGTTTCTGTCTTGGGATAATAGCTTTGGTTTCCTGGACGTTTGTGTGTATATGGATTCATGTTCATATCTGATGTCATAATATTGAGTTAACTTTATGGCTTTTTCCTTTTGATTTGACCCATATTACATGTGAAGTTCTGGTCACTTGGTCTTGGTCTATTTTAACCCTTCTCACTCATTCACCAATAAAGAAGGATATTTTACCTATATCAGCCTCTCGTATAAACTAAAAGCAAGGTGAGACTTTGACTATGCAGGCTGCTAAAATGAGCATACATAGCTGCATAACTGCTTATCTGTACTTTTTTTTTTCAGCTGGGCATGTAAGGCTCTGTTGCATACTAAAAATGACCTAGCAGCCAAAATGAGAAGTGATAAATATTTTCAAAGCAGAGCTGACTTGTGTTACCAGATCTGTTAAAAACTTAATTTTGAATGTTTACATTGAGATACTGACTGTAATTTTTATCAGTAGTCCATGCTTTTTGTCATGAGAGGGAAGTTTAAATATTTGACAGACACTTACCCTGGAATGCATCATGGTTAAAACACTACTTTCTGTTAGCACTGAAACTTTGCTTAGCTGTTGCATCTTTGCCTTGTGTCCAACAGATTTTTTTAAGTATAGGAGACCTATGTATGTCCTTACTTATATTTTACATGGTTTCTCCTGATTTGCTTTGTCTTTATTCTCTTCATTTTTCTCTAAATTTTGACTTAGAATCCTTGACAGTGGAATATATCCTTTAATATCTGCAAATGTTTTTTCATTCATTTAATAGCTTTTAACTTTCAGTTCTTTCAAAATCAGCCTCCCTTACTTGCTAAATGATGAGGTCACTTGCATACATATCTCTGCCAAAAAGGAAAGTAGTAGCTAACTATCTCTTCTGGGAAATGAAGAAAAAAAAAATCAAGTGCAATTTATTCTCGTGTTCTGGAACTGCAGATATTGACCTGTTCTCTTGTATTGTGTGC